GTGTTAAATATGGATACAAGTAAATTTAAATTATTGACGATCTCAATCTTTTCCCTGTTTATTGTGATATTGCTTATTTTTCCAGTTGTGAGGATTTGTGTATTCTTTATGTTGCGTTGTAAATCATGTCGAAGGCTATAGTCTTTGATCTTCATCAGTAAGTGCTTCAAGTCCTCTTGACTTTAGCAAGCAAGGTTGTATCATCTGCATATCGCAGGTTGTTAATGAGTCTTCCTCCAATCCTGATGCCACGTTTTTCTTCATAGAACCCAGTTTCTCGTATTATTTTGCTCAGCATAGAGATTGAAAAATATTGTGAAAGGATATAACCCTAACACAGACAATTAATGCTTTGTTCATCACTCTGAGGCCTGTCTCTGAGTGACAGGTGATTAAACCCACCCCCCCTTTTTTTTTTTTACGGTAACAGAAATATACATCATGAAATAAGATAATGTAAACTTACGGCGTCGGTAACAAAACAAAGTTAATAATGTAAGTGACATTTTTAAAAGAAGTTATTGAATAGGAGAATATTGCATAGTATGTTGTTGTTGTTGTTAAGTGCCGTCGAGTCAGTTCTGACCCATAGTGACCCTGTACAGGGTTTCCGAGGGTGTAAATCTTTATAGGAGTAGAAAGCCTCATCTTTCTCCCGCAGAGCTGCTGGTAGTTTCGAACCACTGATCTTAAGGTTCACAGACCGACTCGTAACCACTACGCTACCAGAGCTCCTTACTGCATTACTGCATAGTATAGTGCCTAAAAATAAATATTAAGTCCCTGGGTGGTACAACAGTTAGTATATTCAGAAGCTAACCAAAATGTAGGAGATGCTAGTTAATCCAGTACACTTGGAAAAAGGGCTTGCCATTCTTCTTTTGAAAATCAGCCACTCAAAACCCCATAGAGCACAGTTCTACCCTTACGTACATGGGGTCTGTATGAGTCAGAATCTAGTCCACAGCAACTCTTGGCTAAAATACTCTATGTTCAGTGACTAGAACTTAGGTTATTTATTGCTCATCATGTTAGAATAGGAGCCTTGGTGATGCTGTAGGATAAGACTGCTAACTACAGCCACTCTGCAAGAGAAAGATGAGGCTTTCTGCTACCACAAAAAATGTACAGCCTCAGGAACCCTAATGTAGGGTCCCTATGACTCCAAAGCATTAACAACAACAACAATATTAGAATAATAACTCAAAATCTTTTAAGGTTTTACAAGGATTTAAGATAACACATTAAAATTCCTAGAACCTGGTAGCACTCAAAAAATGGTATTACTATTATTATGTATTCTGACTAGAAAATAAGTCTTCAGGAATAATTTCATATTTGCTTTTTGACATCACATTTGATCATTTTATGTATGACTGAGCAGCTGCTGAAATTAAATTACACCTTTCATTGCTTAATACTGCTGTTGCTAAAAAGTAAAAGCAAAGAAACTTGGAATTGAACTGTGTTTAAAATAAACTAGAAAAAAATATATTTGGAAGAATATGTTGAATAGTCTTTTTCAAAGTCAAGTGACTTTTGAATTTGTAATAATCCATTTTAATAGCATGTTTATAAATGTGGATTTTTAGAATGTCAACCTCTTTAGATCAAAACATGTCAATACATCTACAAAGATTTCCGTTTCTCCACTATTTAGAACTGAAAGCCTACAAACCTTACCATTAAGATTATTATACAAGGGAGATTAAAAATTAATGGAAACATTCCATTATTTTCAGTGTCGTCCAATGATTTACTTAATTTACTTTAAAATATAAATACTTTATATTTAAGAAAAAATTTTAAATAGTTGGGTTTTTTGTTTGTTTTGTTTTTGTCTTCTACATTTATATACTGGTGACCTAATTTAAAATTTAATATACATCCTGAAGTCATTTGAACCTATTTCCCTACTTTCTCATTTAAAATTAACAGTTAATATCTCTGAGAAATGAACTACATGATTTATTTTTGTCCAAAGTTCATATCTTTATAGCGCACAATAGAAATGAGGCCTGAAATATAGCAATGTAAATCCTGTACTATTTCTGTTAGAAATTTGAGCTAAGTTTGGCCTCTGGATAACATGAGACAACACTGCCACCTTCAGTATATTCCAGTAATGAAATTTTAGTAAAAACTACATGCTTGCTGTAATAGAACATTGGAGAATCTTGAGCAGGTTGTTGTTGTTGTTATGTGCCGTGGAGTCGGTTCCGACTCAGAGAGACCCTGTGCAGGGTTTCCGAGGCTGTAAATCTTTATGGGAGCAGAAAATATAGCTATATCATTAATGATTGTGCATTATCTTTGAAGTTTTTATTTCTAATTTCATTTGCCAACACATGGCATTGAATGCCTAGTGTACCAAATTCAAGTTCTGTGAAGAAATCAAACATTATTAGATACATTGTTAGTTTCTGTAGAATCCATTCTAACTCCTGACTATATAGAGAGTAGAACTTCTCCATAGGATTTTTGAGGCTGTGACTTTTGGGAGTCAGATTGCCAGGTCTCAGGTGTGTCGGTTTGAATTAGCAATATTTTTGTTATTAATCCAGCACTTAATCATTTGTACCACCAGGGACTCATATTAGGCATGTTTGTGTGTTGTGTGCTATCAAGTTGACCAGTGGATCGCCTCTTGCAACACTTCTGAGCAGCTGGGACTGTTGGAAGAAGTTGCCACAAAGGAGACTTTCAGTTCAGTACCTCCTATGAAATGTTGGTGCTGCAGGTCCCTCTGAAGCCTTTCAGGGTTTGTTAGGTGTCATCGAGTCAATACCGACTCATAGTGACCCTATCCAAAACAGAACAAAACACTGCCCGATCCTGGGCAAACCTCACAATTGTTATCAGCCCCAAATTTGAAAGTAGATCAGCTAATCAATAATATTGGGTTATTTACCATTACAACTTTACTTGAGCATGCTATCGGGGGAGGGATGGCAGTTCCTGGAGGAGGACAACATGCTTGGTAAAAGGAAGATCAGGGAAAAAGAGGAAGACCCCAATAAGATGGATTGACACAGTGGACCCAAGCTTTGTGATTGTGAGGATTGGGCAGGACTGAGCAGCACTTCATTCTGTGGTTCAAAGGGTTGCAATGAATCATAACAAACTAGATGGCACCTAACAACAATAACAACAAATGGAGTGAATTGTACTTGCCAGTCGCTATAGAGTTAGCTACATCTCGTGGTAACCTTACCTGTGACAGAAGAAGATGTTGCCTGGTCCTGTGTACTCTGTGATTGCTGTGTGTGAGAGTCCACTGTTGCATCCACCATGTTAATCCATCACATGCTGGCTTCTCTCATTTC